GCTCCAAGATATAAATATAATCTGATGCACTCACAGTTCCAGTAATGAATTTCAGGCATTCAACCCCATGTTATAATCATGTCTCTTATCCTCCAGATTTAAGCCCACGTGACTGTACTTACTTCTCTCAGTTGAATAGGTAACTGATGGTGTAGCATATAATAATGTCACTTCTTTGTATGTGATGTGTGCACATAAACTCAAGATGGAAATGGTCTGAATGTTTCTAGATTGTTAAATGATATACTGAAATGATGCAAAAGATCAACTAAATTAAATACCAGCTGTGAGTTATGCAGAAATTATCAGAGTTTATAATGAAGTACCCAAATGGGACTGATAAAACTGATGTAATGTTTTATAGAATAATATTTTCCAAGGTGTTCTAGCTGATGTCAGTATTTGAATTTAGCAGTGGTGCTATTCTTTCCCCTTGTTTTCCTTTTTTTTTCCTATTGTTACTCCAATGTATAAATTTTGTAATTAGAATCCCCCCCCATGCAGATAGGAAGCAAGTGTGTTGAGGGTCAGAGAAAAACCTCTGGAAAAGAAAGACCTTTTCACTGGGCAAGTGCATGCATTGTTTAGTAATAAAATAACTCTGTGGTTTCAAAGCCCCTTATCTATATCTGGGCAAAAATAAACATTTCTATTTGAAAAGCAAGCAAACATCATTGTGAAGAGCAGTGGTTTCAAGGTGGGACCACCGAGCCTCTAGAAGATTGTGAGCATTGTGACATAATGCTCTAATGGCACAGTGGTTGCGCCCTGAAACCACAAAGCAAAATGCCATAAAATATAGATAGTTTTTTTAATATAGGGTGTTTCATAGATCATGGGACAAACTTGGAGAGGTGGTGAAGCATACATGCATTTTTTTTTATAGGAATATAGGGTCTAAAGTAACGGGTTAAGGCGGGAACGCAAAAAAATAACATGTACAAAATCACCACAAAGTGCTTCTTTGCAGCAATACAGTATTCACAATAAATGTTCAAATTGCGATCACCAGCAGTAATACTATAAAGTATTTCTCCCACTTTCCTAGTGCTCCTTCCTGGTATAGTGGTTCTGCACACTGGGCCGGTGTTCCAGAGGTCCTTGGTTCGATTCCCAGTGAAGGCAGTTGCTAATTTTTCAATTCTCCTTCTTCCAAAAAATATCTAATGTCTCTACAATACATGCTTGGTAACGTCGCAGAAGAGATTGACGAACATTTTGAAAAACGGCAGGCATTTTGTGCATGCTTGCAGCCGCAATGCATAGTCATGCAACAAAGTCCTCCAGTGAGTCAACGGAAGTCTCATAAATGCTCTTCAGATGGCCCCATAAAAAAAAATCCAAGCTGGATAAATCTGGCGAACGGGGTGGCCATCGAACGGGTCCACCACGGCCAATCCATCGACTCGGAAATGTCCCATCCAAGTAATTGCCGGACCTGCACATGGTTATGGACTGGTGCACCATCATGCTGGAACCACATGCGATCAACAGCCAGAACATCCTGCAGCAATTCTGGTAGCACCTCTGGCAGAAAAATATGGTAACATAAGCCATTTGTACGTGCAGGTAAGAGGTATGTTTCTATAAGGTAGTCATTAACAATACCCACTCACACATTCATGGAGAAGCAGGTTTAGAATGCATGTGGGCGTGTGTCGTGGATTATGAGTTGCCCACATGTGCATATTGTGACTATTGAAGATGCTGTCTTATGAGAAAGTTTGCCTCGTCCATGAATAATAAATAGCACATCCGATGGAAAATCCGCCTGCACTGCGTACTGCTGCAAAAACCAATGACAGAAATGAACTCGAAGAGGGTAATCTGTCTCTTGCAAGGCTTGGACTCTCTGCAAATGGTATGGGTGCAAACCATTTTCATGCATTACTCTCCAAACGGTGGATTTGGGTTGGGTTATTCAATTATGGCAAAGCATACGAGGGCTATCTGCCTAAAGGGAGGGAGGCCTTCGTGGGGCACTTTCTAAGGGAAACTCGCTCATATACACATTACACATGGGAAAAACCACAAAAACGCCCATGCAGCCAGCCCGTTGGCGGGATTCGAACCTCGGACCGATCTACCAATGTTCAGCATCTTTACCATTCGGCCGCTGGTGGGCCCAAACGGTGGAATGACTCAGCTGCAGACGACGTGCAATAGCTCTTGTACTTGTCTGAGGTGATTCATGCACAATGTTCAAGATGGATTCTTCAATGCGAGGTTTTTGTGCACTTCTTTCACTCCTAGTGTTGGAGGTGGCTTCAAATGACTTGTTTTCACACAGAGACCTATCAAACCTATCAAATCTATCAAACGTGTGCTTCGGCATACGCCCTGTTCAGAAACCGTTCCTGGTACAACCGTAGCGCTGCTCTGCTGTTCCCATTAACAGTACCATACATGAGATGCATGTCAGCTTTTTCCCTGTGCGTAAACTCACCCATCATTCTCGACATCAGAGTTGCGAATGATCCTCTGATGCATCGGATCGTGTTTTGTCTGGCTCACTACCACCCTCTACTGCTGCATTGCCAGCCAATCACAGCTGTAGTTCCTTTTACTGTTAGTGTTCTCTTTTTTGAACATTTATTGTGAATAATATTATGATATTGCTGCAAAGAAGCACTTTGCATTGTTTTGTGCATAAACACATTTTCCTTTCATGTCTTTTTTTTTTTTTTCGTTCCTGCCTTAACCCGTCACTTTAGACTCTACAATCCTATACAAAAAATGCGTGTTTTAGTACACTCCATCACCCCTCCAAGTTTGTCCCATGATCTATATAACGCCCTATATATGCTGTTTAATTATTGCAATTTTTTATTGTTCACGATAGAAATCACGATGTGTGATGAATCACTTTTGAAATTTAAAGTTGTTTATATTAAAAAAGGAAGTTATTTTGTCTCGTTGAAAACGAATTTTAAAAGGCAGCCGATTTGAAGTACTAAGACTTAAAACATGTATGATTCTGTAATCATTTTGTGTTATTTAAAGGTAAAAGATCAGTAATCAATTGATTTTCACTCAAAAATTTGGAAAAGAAGAGGAGAAAAAAATTAGAAAATTGGTGGTTTCAGGGTGCGACCATCGCACGTCAAAGGGTTTAATACACAAGGAAAACAGAACATTGATACCATGAACTTCGAAAAACAGAAAAAAAAATGTATATTAACATTTTAACACTATATGGGGAATTCTAAACATTTGCTGCTTTTGAAATTTTTGTGATTTTTCTGTTGCATTGTATAAGGTACAAGTCCAAAGAAAATGATGCTTAATAATAAAGCTAGAAAGACCTCCCCCCCCCCCGAAAAAAAAGGTAAGCTGGAGTTGAGTGCAACAACAGACTACGAGCTTAGCAAGAGCATATAAAACCTTAGTAAACCCTTTTGGGGGGGTAATCGATAAAAAACTTTTCATATTTTTTCAGGGGTGTGTTCTGCTGTAGCTATTTTTAGTCATTTTTGCGTTTGTAATGATAATTATTACTTAGAGCTTTAGTAAAGGATCATCTTATCTTTTCATCTTGGCTGCTTATTTTAGATTTATGCGAACTATTAAAACTTTTATATCATGTATCTATTTTGCATGTATGTTTTGTTTACTTGGTATGTATTTATATTGGTTTAACATATATATATCAAAGTTTGATATTTTTGGTTATTAGGTTACTTTATGCTACTATGCTACTTCATCATTTATTATTTAAATGGCTTGACAGGTATGCCATTTCAAGCACTGCAAGATCTTTAACTTCAACTTTCTAAGACTAGTTTACTTATGGCTTTGAGAATTCTTTCAGCATGACTTTCAAATTATAACAGCAGTTATATTTGCTTAGTTAGCAGTTTGAGAAATTTTAAACCAATAAGTTTATTTTTTAAAATTATATATTTTTATTTAATTTTTTGATAATATGGCTAGCCAATATGATTTATGATACATTGAACTGATAATTTTTAAGACCATTGCACCATTATTGTAATTAAAAGAAAATGTTAACTCCATATATATATATATATATTGAAAAAGAAAATGTAAAGCTAACTGGTAATTAGACGTAAGACCTATTTGGTCTCAAAAATTTTTGCGCATAATGCTGCAAAAAGATATGAAATAATAGTAGTAGGTAGAAATATTGCAGCGAACTTGCTAAAAAGTTACCAGGAGCTGTAGCTCCACGAAATATTTTAACACAGTATTACATAAATAAGAAGAAATTAGTCTGGGAAAACTGGAAAAAAAAAAAAAAAAAAAAAAAAAAAAAAACTATAAACACGTGAAAAAACAGCTAAAATTAATGCTGGAAGACTTGCTTATGCACGAAAAAATTAATAATTAATTATTTGATAGAGAGTAATTGTTTGATTTTTTTTATGTTAATTGTTTTCCAAAAAAACATTAAAAAAATTTTCAGGTGTCAATTGGCATTTATATTTTTCTTTAAAATTAATTTTAGATAGTTTTAAAATTTGGTGATGTAGAAGTCCACTTAAGTCAGTCTCTAGGCAGTTAAACACATGATTTTGGAATTTGAGTAATCGTAGGAAAGGACTCTGGTAATTGAAAGATCACTAATTTTTTTGCTATGTGCAATATTTATCCAAGACATTGGTTACATTGTCTTTAATATTTAAAAGCAGGATGTTTTTAATAACTTACAGGTGTACTGTATATTAAAATAAATAAATAAATAAAATACTGTTCTATTTTTGAAAATGCTTGAAATGAACTTTGAAATGCATCCTTCTGTAGATATTTACCATAAACTTTTAAAAACTGAACATAATAAATCATTGCCATACTTCTGACAGTTTAAGGGAAAGATTAACTTTTTCATCAAGCTATTCTTAAAAGGAAGTTAATAATCTTGCATTTCTACTGAGTTGTCTTACAAGTGAGCTCATTTTATATTATTTAAATGTTTCTATTGTACTTAAGTAAGGCTTTGAAAATAGCTGATATTGTTTTAACATTTTTTATTCTTACAGTTACCACCTGGGAAATATACAATATATACTCATGCAGCTATCCAGCATGAAAGTGCATCACCTGTGTTACAAGTATGTTCAGTTTATAATGCATTCTGTGTGTGTTTTGAACTGAACAGAAATAAACTTATTTTGATGAATGCATGTTAGCTAGATATACGTTTCAGTTAAAATTTGTAATTGGTTAATTGACAGATTAAGTGTATTTTTCTCTTTATAAAATTTTAAAGTCATATTTATTAAGCTATAAAAATAAAAGCTAGTGGCACATAAAGGAGTAACGAATCAGAAACGAGTTCAGAGGAGGTATTTTCTGAATGGACACCATGCAGATAAACTCGACTTCAACTTTTTGCCACTTGTTGTATCAATTTCAGATATCTCATTTTAAATGCTCATTTCTCCCCACAGATTTTTAATGAATATACTTTTAAAAATTCATCTTGTGGAAATGTGGTATCAAACTAAATAATCGTAATAAAAAATTCAGATGCTAAATAAACATGTGTAAATTAATAAGGTAAAAGAAAATTCTGAAGTTTTTTAAGATTAATTAACCATAAATCAAATATGGTTAATAATTTTTATATAATAACCTGAAGCAGTATATTATTGAAGTTAATCATAATTTTGAAATACTAGATTTTGAATTTTACTTAAAATCTACACCAGTTTAAGATTGCTTTTACGAATTCCTGTTGTCTAATGAATAAAGCATTTGCTTCCAGAAACGAAGATTGTTAGTTCAAGTCCCACGAGGGGGAGGTGTAACAGAGTTGGTATTTTTAAAAATTGGTTTGGTATTTTTATAATTTATAGAAAATATTATCACTAGCTTCAAATCAGTACAGATATTTATGCAGTTTGAAGATGCTTAAAAACCATTTTTCCGTTAATGATATCCTAGCACTAAGAGCAAAGTTCAGTAGATACTATATGTCAGGCCTCTGCAACCTATGGCATGAGGAACAATTCTCAGTGGCACTCTGCACCACTCTACAAAATTATCAAGCAAAGATAAATTGCCCCATATCTCCTCTATGTGCCATCAGTAAAGTTTAATTGCCAGAATTTTGTCACAGTGCTTAATTTCTGTAATGAACACTGTTGTTAAAATAGTTAATTTCATAGTGTTTCGTTCTTCATTAGTGCACAGGCAATTTAAATCTCTTCTAAATTTTAGAAGAAATGGAAAGCAAATATATGATTCTCCACTTATGCAGCCATGCCCATTGGCTTAGTTGAGGTAATGTCTTGAATAAGTTTGTGTCATACATGAAACACATTAAAGTTTTTCTTAGTAAGAAGAATCAACATTTCTCCAAATTGAACAATAAAAAAATTGATGTTTTTGTCTGATATAACCAAATATCTCAATGAACTAAGGATTGTAAGGAAAGGGCCAATCAGTGTCTGAATGTTTTGAATATTGGAAAGACTCTGTTACAAAATTAAATCTATTTGCCTGTGATATTAATACTAATACCTGTAAATACTTCCCAAATGTAAAGTGCTTCCATATACATCGAAGCTCTTAAGAAGGAATTTCCAAAAGATGCAAAGACTTTGGAGCTTGTAGACCCATATTTTCCTTCCTAATCAAACCTGATATAATAGACCAATTAGTAATCCAGTCTGATTTGTCAATTTTTGAGTGGATAGAAGTTATTAAACTAGCATCCTCAGAATTATGGAAAGCAAAATTTCTGGAATTACGAAAAAATTCTGGAAGATGATAGCTCTAGGGTAAATCAACAGCTATTTTAAATTGCTGAATGTCAATGCTGGAGAGATTTAATTGTTTCAAGAAAATTTGATGTGCTCTGCTTTCCGCTTTTATTTCCACATATCAATGTGAACAAATCTTTTCTCATATGAAAACTATTTTGAATCAACAAAGAAGTTATTTAACAACTGAATATTCAAAATCATGTTCTCAAATTGAAAGTCACAAATATATCTCCTGATATTGCGATATTTAGAACAGACAAGGTTCGCATAAAAATTTTAATTGTTTATGTATGTTCCAATATTGAAGGACTACTTTTTAAAATTTTACGTCGTTTATTTTTTATTTTAATAAATATGTTTAAAAGATGCATAATATATGTAGAATTTAAATTTTTTATTTATGTTGAAGGAAATAAATATCCTTAAATGATGAATAATTGATATATTATAAAACTCTAAATCTCTATTCTTGTCCACTGTTCCCTAACTCTGCATGCATTGCCGTGGGAATCAAATTGTTTCAAATATTTCCTACTATGTGGCATCCTGAATCATATTGGTACATTTGTTTGGCACACCACAGCTACAAGATTGCCGACCTGTGCTATATATTGCGTATTCAGGCTTTATACTTTCCCTCCTTTAATTATCGTGCAAAATCACTAAATTCTTTCCTATCACAGCTTTCTTTCTTTGTCTTTCCTCTTTCAAATTGATAAGGTATTGCATTTATTTTTCAATGACTGCAGACGGGATTTTCACCTCTCAGGTAGTCCTATGTGCGTTATTCTTATATATTTATTATAATAGCCTCATATTTGTTTTCTCAAAATCCATAATTGTTTTTCTTGCAGATTTTAATTAAGCCCCCAAAGGTTTAAAATTGATACAGTACAAAGTCTTTAATCCAGACATCCATAATCCGGAATAATCTATAATCTGGACCTCAAAGCTACAAACTTTCTGCGCATGCATAAATGCATAATGCGTTTACGCACGCGCATATGCATAATGATGCAAAAGCAAAGTTTAAAGTTGTAAAAGAACATTTAGCAGCAGTAGCAATAGAAGCTCCCTAAGGTTATGTACTGTGCAGACATTGAAGACAAAAGTTTTAAACTTAACCAATTTATTAACAATATATAAAAATAAAAACACAATGAATAAATTTAATCAATATCAGAAACTTAAAGAGTATAACATAATCATTATCAAAAAATTACACTTAATTGATCATCCATTAACCCCAAGGATTTTTCTTTTACACTATTAAAGACACAGTAAATATTTTTACCTGATCTCCAAATACTGCCATTCAATACGCGAGAAACATATCACTAAACAGAAATTACGCGGTTATAATGAGATTTGCTTCACTATCAATAAGTCCATGCTTTATGGTCAAGAAGGCACCTGAAAAAATTAAAATTAAATCCTTGAGAGCACTTAAACCGGCAAAACGCCGCTCACTGTAGTTACACACGAAAAATCACAGCTTAGAAAAACATCGCTGCTAACTTGTGTTAAATGCCGTTTTCATGAAAACAGGATACCGGCCACGGCAGTTGCTCACATTGTTGCTGCTGTTCAGGATCCAGAAAAAAGTCATCTTGTGGACTGGAACCACGGCACTAGTCGCTGGCTGGCATGCATCGCAACATCGTCTTCCTATGGGGGCTGAAAACAGCACACCAAGGAGCAAAGAAACAGGAACCAGAAGGAATGAGCCAGAGCGACGCAAGATACTTATACTTGAAGTAGACGTGACGTCATCTCACGGCAGCCAATCAGCTATCAGCACGACTCAGCTTTCCAAATGATGTAACATCAAGCTTCCATTTTTGCATTTTAATTAGGCTGGAACAGTACGTTCTTAATACAAACAGTGGCAAAGGCATATCCTTTGCTTCTTTAACCATTCCAAAATCTGTTTATCAATTTCACTCTGCTCTGCCGGGGGGGGCGTAGTGGCACACAATGAACTGTAAGTTGATCTGTCAGCACTATCCTTATCTTCAGGGCAGATGTTTTTATTTTATTCGGCTTGTAATTCCTTACTAAATGTAGTATTTCATCACTCCGTCTTTGATATGATTTAAATCAAATTCCTCGTCATTTAAATATCACGAATACACATCAAATAGTTTTCTGGTTGCAATTTTCTAAGTTCGACTATGCGTAATGTATGCTTTACGTATGCGCGTGTTGAAAGAAATGTTTAATAAAGTTAACAAATAAATATTAAGCTTTTTTTTTTTAAATTTTGGTACCCTTTAGATCATAATTGCCCTTTATTTCATAAATGAACGGTTTCATATTTTTAATTTTATAATTTCTGCATGCCATCTTACCAGATTTAAATTGATGATCTATAATCTGGAAAAACTCCTAATCCGGAATCGCCGAAGTCCCGACGAGTCTGGATTAAAGACTTTGTACTGTAATAAGTTTTTTATTAGTTTAAAGAAAGCATAAGCAAATCTACTAATCGTGAAACTGAATTTTCAAAAGAAATGTTATATGAAGTGCAAATATTTCATTGAGTTTTTGAGTAAAATGACATAATAAACTTTTGATAGCCATTCTTCATTAATATATAAATGACTAAATGTGGTAAAAAAAAAAAAAAACAGGTACATGAAGCAGAAAATGCATTTTAAAAGTTTTTAAAAATTTTCATCTCTTTTTTGTTATTATTAGAAACAACTTCATTTTTTCAAGTGTGATATTTAATAACCCTATAAATTGTATGCACATTAATAACAAAATATATTTTTATTACATTAATTAAACCAATTTTATTAAGGAAAGTACTACATACATCATAATACAAATTTTACAGTGTCTTACTCCATGAAAAACTCGTACTCTGGAATCGAAAGTTGCAGTTAAAATTTTTTAATTATCATTCAACAATATTTATAAAAAATGTAAATATGCAATGAATCTTTTCTCGGATATCCTTTTTCTGTCTTCGACAATATGCTTTTCTGGGATCTTCTGATGAAAATTACCATTAATTGATGCGTCATGCGAAAGTACACTGCCTTCCAAAAATTAAGGAAAAGCATGTTTTTTGTGTCTAATTTGAGAATGAAACGACATAGAATGTTTCTAAAGGTAAACGTGAATTACAACAAAAAATTGCAATCTTGACAGAGAAATCCAGTCTTGGAGAAACAGTGTATCGCAGTTTTTTTTTAGGAAAAATGGGGTGGTAACAGCAAAAAAATGGGTTTAATAAGGAATTTGTCCTCCCATAGCTGCAATACATTGGCAGCAGCAACATTCCATGCTGTCAATTAAGTTGACGGTTAGTGAAATGGGAAGCAATGACCAGA